TAAAGAATTAAATTATTATTATTATTATATAGGCATTGATTTCAATTAGGCCACTAAGTTCAAAGTGAGTATGTGAAGCTCAATTAATCATTAAATAGAGATCAAGATGTGTGATCAAGATTTAATCTTTTATTTTATTTATTGTAATTATTTAAATATTCATTTGACCATTGACCGTTGACTCTGGTGTTACCTGTTGACTTCTTGAATTAACTTCCAATGACAACCGTTGACTTTCGATGTTGACCGTTAACCATAGCATGCATTATTTATGAAGAAAATATGCACCCACAGTATGCAGTTGATATGAAATAAATATGCCTTTGGTATGAATTAAATATACAATTTTATGAACTAATTGTGCACCAATAATTATATCAACTAAGTACGCATTATTTATTAACTAAATATACACTACGTGTGAACTAAGTGTGAACTAAGTGTGCATTTTATATTATCTATATCTATATATATATATAAAGAGGAGCAACAAAACATTTAATTTTATTACCATGCATTAAATTTTATTCTCATGCATTAAATTTTATTCTCCCTCCAAAATTTTTCAGCATTCAATTTCATTTTTAAGTTACAAAATAACTTGCTTGAATGCTATAAATTATGAGCATAACCAATCAAAGGAGTTACAAAATTGTACTCAAATTTAAGTCACACCCACTCATGAAAATGACCGGGTGTATTAGCATAAAGAAAATGGTTGTAACGGCTCTTCCATAGCAATTACATGATCAAAATCAATTTTGAGAATTATTTTCTTAATTCATATTTTTTTTTCATGAATTAAATTATGATTTATTTATTTTTATATATATTTTTATGTTTTTAAAGTATTCGTTTCTGTGTCAATGCACAGGTTGATTACTAGTATATATAAAGAGGAGTAACAAAGCATTAAATTACATTATCATGCATTAAATTTTATTCTCCCTCCAAAATTTTCAACATTCAAATTTTTAAGTTACAAAATAACTTGTTTGAATGCTATAAATTATGAGCATAAATCAATCAACGGAGTTACAAAATTGAACTCAAATTTTAAGTCATACTCACTCATGAAAATGGCCGGATGTATTAGCATAAAGTAAATGGTTGTAACGGCTCTTCCATTGATCAAAATCAATTTTGAGAATCATTTTCTTAATTCATATTTTTTTTCATGAATTAAATTATGATTTATTTTTGTTTTTTTATATTGTTATCTTTTTTAAGTATTCTTCTCTGTTAAAATGCACAAGTTGATTACTATATATATATATATATAATTTGTAGCAATAAAGCATTAAATTATATTATCACGCCTAATTTTTCATCATTTAATTATATTACTTATGTTCCCGCCTAAAGCAGTTACATATATTATAATATTAATATGTTTTTTGCTAATTTTCTTACATCACCTAACCAGTCTATTAGTTGCATGAATGTTCTAGCTAAAATCGTGCATTTATATCTATACTTGCTTTTTTTTTCTTTTCCTCCAATAATTTTGAAAAATGAGATCTTGGATATTTTTTACACAGAAAAAAAAAGAGAGAAATGAGCTTGAATCATGGAGTGTTTGGATTATTGAAGTCGAGGGTTTTGTAACGCTCATTTTGGTAACCGGTTACCTGATTCTTTTTTTTTTTGTTCAAAACAATGTGTATTGGGTTTAATTTGAAATATTATTTTCTTTGGGCTTTACTAAATCGAACTCATTAAACAAATAGGCTTACTGAGAGTATCGACCCAAGTCACCCTTACAAGTTTTTTAATAAAAAATTAAGCCGACTTCACCACATTTTTTTAATATGTTATCCATCCCAATTCAACAACTATTTATAATGCAATTATTTGTTCAGTAGATAATTTTGACCCAAATGTTTAATAATGAAAGTGTTTAATAATATTTACAATTATTTTTTAATTCATATTTTTTTCATGAATTAAATTATGATTATGTATTTTTATTTTTTATTTTTATATTGTTGTCTTTTCTAAGTATTCTCCTCTGTGCAAATGCACGGGTTGATCACTAGTTAAGTTAAAAATACTAATTACTATTTTTAATAATATAATTAATTTAAATTTTAATTGATTAATATGAGGCATTGATCCACACAAATAAATAGCTAGATTGGACCTCACATAAACTAAATATGCACTACGTATGAACTAAATGTGCAGTCAAAATATGCAATTAAATGTGCATTTTATATAAATAATTCAAATATAAAAATTAATATTATTTATTATATAATTAATATAAATTTCAATTGATTAATATGAGTCATTGATGTACACAAATAAATGTTATGATTGGACATCACATGAACCAAATATGCACTATGATGAAGTAAATATGCATTTCTTATTACATAAATATGTAAAATGAATGAATCATATATGCATTATGTATTACTGTAATTATATAAAAATAAATAAAATAAATATTTTATCAAATTAATTATATAAAAAAATAGGAGTTTTTTCAATACAAGACCCAAAATATAGGTTAACTTCAAATTGGGGCCTAAAAGATTTTTTTTCTCGATTCAAGACCTAAATCTTGTAAAACTATCAATATTAGTCTTAAAACTAACAGAACGCATAACACCGTTAAATTGAGAGTTTAAAAAGAAAAAAGGAAAAGAATAAAAAACTAGAAAAATGCAACGACCTGTTCGAAACCGATGGTTTTTTATATGGCGGGGCAAAATGAAACTAAAATGCAAAATCACCTTTTTTTTTCTTGTTCTTTCTTTTTGGTCATGGCTTACATTGTTCAAGTTCTATAGTCTATATTTTTTTTTTTCTTTTCGGAACGATAGTAATCACATATATTCGCAACACAATACAAGATTAGAGAACAGCTACTCAGCCGAAATACACAGCGAATGGCTGAATAAGCTGAATACCTGACCCTAGTAGGGAGGACTACACGTACAAACCGACGGCAGCCTAGAGTCAACCTACAACACAAAGCACAACTAAAAGACTCTCAATAGACGAATAAACAAAAGCTCCAAACAGGAGAATACACCAAACACACTCCCAACAAGATAGAAAAAAATAAAATACAAACAAGAAAAACACAACACACAAACACTAGAAAAACAACCTAAACACAAACAAATCAACCCTTCCCAGAGCCGGCAAAAAACCAAGAAGCTATAAGCAGCCCCATAACTGACCACCCCCGATCCGAACCACGCCCTGAGAAGCCACTCCAGAAACTGCCTATCGCTTAATTAGATCCGCACCCCAGAAACACGACCTGCTATTGTAGCACAAATTGTTTTTAAATCACCGAGTACCGAATCAAATGATTCGTTCCCCAGGTCGATCTCTCGAGGAAGGCGGTTTGGAATTATGGAAAGACCCATTGTCGACTAGTACCACAATTCGCCGGTCCCGAACCCACGCGGGCAACCACATGGTCTTCGACCCTTGAGTTTGGCCATCGCGTGAACCGATATCATAGGATCATCCTTGTGAGTCTTGGTGTCACACTTTGGCTCGTACGGTAAAGGCTCCTCCTTGTTCGAATTGGAGTACTCGATCAAGAACGCCTGCTTTTCCTTGCATCTATGACCCGACACAAATTTTTTGTTGCAATTAAAACTGAGGCCCTTCTCACATCGTCACTGCATCTCATCCCAATATAGACTTTGAACCCTGACTGCTATCAGCCTTGGGTTCTTCACAGACGCTCTGCTTCTGCCCTGAGGTGTGCTGTCCGCGATAGGCTCTGCGCGGCGCGGCTCCGCGACGCGCGCTTATCCGCAACCACCTTGCGTACCGCGACCTGGTGGTCGTCGTGCATGCGTGTGGCCTCCATGGCTGCTCGCATCATCTTCGCCTCTCTAATCTCACCTCTGCAGCAAGGTCAAGTTTTAAACTCCTGACAAACGCACCACCATTTGCCGAATATGAGACAAGGGCTGGTCATAGTCGTGGTACTCCGAGGATCCAAATTGCGTGATCCGCTCCTTCTCGAATTTTTTCCATCGAATTTGTTCGTCCCTCTTTTTATACATGTGTGATATCTACTGCCACCAAACGTTCGCCTCCCTGTCGAGGTAATAGACATCAAATCTCATCCTTTCAGCCTTTGGGATCTCATTGATGTCAGAATATTGGTTCGATCGACTCAACCATGCATCTGGATCTATCCCATGGAACATGGGAAGGGTTAGCTTTGGTGTTTTGAACCTTCACCCCTCACGGTGATTTGAGCCTTGTGTTGTCGGACTCACTCTCAAAATTGCCGTGATCTGCCCCCGTGGATGATTTGGATTTGCTCGTGTGCCGTGCACGCGCGCTCGGCTGTGCCAAGCATCAATTGCTCGAGTTGAGCCATAGTTTAGTTCGTGGAATGAAGACCGTCGGTCACGAACTTTATACTATCACTCACAAACCTGAGATGCTCCTCCACGGTATTGAGCCTTTCACGATTTGTCTTGATGTTGATGATGATGATACACGATCAACCTCTCGATGGAAGCACCAGTGATTAAGATCTTGTAGCGTAGACTTGTTTTGCATAGAAGCGCACGCTGACGACCTTGCTTCTACACGATAATTCGTGAAAACACAGTTTTGTTAATCACAAGAGATTTGTGCTCAAGACGAGCAATTTTTCTTATCTTATTTGCTTGAATAATTCGAAAATAATAACATGGGTATTTAAAGAAAAGAAATGCTAAGCCTTTGATAAATTAACTATGAGAAATTAACTCTAGTCGTACGGAAAGCAAAAAACTAAGATCCTAAGAATTACCCAAATAACTAATTAAACACCTAAACATACTAGGAATTATTTACTAAGAAATATAATCTAAGAATATGAAGTCTTCTAGAATCCGCCAAGATCTTCTAGAAGAATCTCGGCCAATTGTCGTGCAAGGCACGCACGCTCGTCACCTACCGCGCCCTCACTGGTTGTCTCCCCTGCGCCGCGCTGTCCGCGTCGCGTTCTCTGTTGCGCGCCTCGGCCGCCACACGAGCCTCCCTCATGCGCGCAAGATACACCCGACTATATGCATTCTTGAGCCTCATACCCTCATCCGCATCAGCTGCCAATAGCTGCACATTCAAAGATACCAGCGACAAATCAATAACTATTGCCAACTCTCTTCATCCAGCTCACATACGATGAAAGAGTAGCAAATTTGAAGCCAACATACCTAAAAATTGCAGTTGACTCGAATACCTAGTCAGATACTAAGGAACAAATTTAAAAAATCTCACTGGCATATAAGGATCGACGGTGACCCGCCACACAAGGGACGACAATTATCGACTAGCAACCGGGGTGGATCCCGACGTCGGTGCTGCTAGAGGTCGGGTGACAATTCGATGGCACGTCAGTAAAGAGGAGGAGGGGTACCTGTTTAATTTTTTTATTTCGGCTGATTGTTGAAAAAAGTGACTATCCCCCCTACTTTTCTTCACTTGAAAGTTGAAACCCAGCTCCAGCAAATTGAAGTGCGAGTACATGTTTGGTTATAAAAAATTTTGGTTTTGTTTGGAGTTTTTGGTTTTGTTTGGTTAATTTTGAAAAAGGTGGTATGGTTAGTTGTTAGTAGATATATTAAAATAATATTTATAATAAAATAATTAAAATTGATTTGATATAAAAGTAGGAGAGAGAGAGATTTGAAGTGATGATTAGAAAAAATAATGTGAGTGGATAAATAGTAAATTAAGATTAATGTTGTGTATAAGAATGATTGATTGATATTATTTAATCATATTGATAATTTTGATAATAATGAAATTGAGTTAAAAAAAATAATAGAGTTAAAATATTGAATTTTTTTTGAAAAATTCTATAAACAAACAAGTTTTACTACACCCATAAAGCAAAATATCACCATTTTAGAGGGGCAAAAATAATAATCTTCAGATTTTTATTTATTTGCATCAACGACTTGGCATGCTGCCAACAAACCGGACGCCAAATGAGTACTTTATTGCGGTTAATAGTCCTTTGTGACGTCCGGATCCACACCTGTCACGCTCTCCATCTTACCCATCAATAAATATTATATAAACAGATAAATCCTACAAAATCTTTTCAGTTCAGAAAGTTTCTTCTCTCAAATTTATTATTTCGAAATTAAATATTGAGGAAAACAACAGATAAAGAAAGACAGAAGAAAAAATGGCGACTGGAGAAGAGAACAAGCAAGACGACGTCGTTGCTATCGAGCTTCCTGCTCCAACTGGCTGGGTGAAGAAGGTTTTCTGTCTTCCTCTCCTCCCCTTTTTGCTTGGTTATGTGTATGCTTTGGTCTCCTTGGAATTGTTGTTATCTAGCTTTTCTCTCTCTTTGTTCTGCTGTTTGACTTTATTTACATTTTTTCTGAATTTTGTTTGTGTAAGCTATATTTTCCTTTTCTGAACTTTCCGAATTTGTTAAGGATTATAGATTTGGTCTGGTGGTTGTAAATGTTGAATTGAAGTTATGGTTATTCCGTTCCCTTTAACTGCGTTGGTGTGTGGTAGGGCTTCGTGTTTTATGTTCTCTGAGGTTGCTAAGCTGAGCAAATTTAAAGGTTTTATTGCAAAATTTTGTACCTCAATGATATGAAGTAGAAAAATTGGGGGCCTATAAGTTCGATGAAGCTAGGACCTTCTTTAATGGCAAGTGTGGTTTAGCTCATTGAATTGCGTCTGATTTTAATGGCTTCTGTTCGATAGTCTGTATTCCGGCTCATCATTATGTGTGATTACATTTGGTTTAACATGTGTTTTACCTAATTTACAAATTGAACCGTGTAGCTGTAGAACTTATCTTCCACTCTACAGTTTTACTCAACTTTGCTAATGGAGGTGTAAATAAATACAAAAGAAGTTGGGAATCAAATCAACAAGCTTGCCTGCTAGACATAATGTCTTGATAGATCAAATTAAGAAATCTGGCTATGGTTTTACATATTCTGATGTTGAAAAAGTATTTGATAGAAGTCCTGGATAGGTGCCTGTGGTTTGCAAACTGACTTGCTGTCATATTTTAACTCCATCTCACAACTATTATTTCACTATCCGTGCACTTGATTTCCTCCTGTGACTTTCACAATTGAACTTCAGTTACCATTGTTGTTGTTGTTACTGTGAACTTATCAGTTTACTCCAAAGAAAGGAGGCACCCCACAGAGGAATGACATTGTTTTTATATCGCCCACTGGGGAAGAGATCAAGAACAAGAGACAGCTGGATCAGTACCTCAAGTCTCACCCTGATGGCCCTGCCGTCAATGAATTTGATTGGGGCACAGGTAAACTGGTTCTCTCTCCTCTCTCTCTCTCTCCTCTCTCTCTCTCTCTCTCATGCTACAACAAACTAAAAATAGTATCTGTTGCTATTGAATGCTGCTCAGAGATATGGACTTATTAGGAAGTGGATTTCTTGACTTAATCCTAGCAATAGATGGATTTGTATCTCAGTGGATTTTGAATCATCCAGCTCAAATTTGAAGAAAGTTTGGCTAATTTCAAGTTGTCTCATATGTTGTCATTGGATTCCTTCTATCTAAAGTCCAAATATGTCTATCCAAACGTGGCCTTATATAAGTTGTCATATTCCTGCTCAGGGGATACCCCAAGGCGCTCCGCGAGATTGAGCGAGAAATCAAAGGCGCCTGAGGGGCCCACAAGCTCATCCCCAAAGAAAAGGAGAAAGAAATTGAGCACAAAGGAGGAATCTGACGAGAAGAGCAATGCTGATGCAGAAGGTGAAACTGAAGACACTAAAGAAGTTGCTGATGTGGACACAAATGGAGTTTGGGACGGGGAAGTCATTACCGAGGAGGCAATCCCAGAAAAACCTGATACTGAGAAAGTCGAGACGGGAACTGAGAAGGAGGCCAAGGTGAATTTAGATGAATCTTCTGCAGCTGAAATGAAAAATGAAGCCAAAACCGAGAATTCAATTGATGATGTTCAAAAATCCAATGAAGTGGCTTCGAAGGTACCTTTTGCTTCCGATGCTCAAAATGACTCCACTACTGAGAAAGTGAATATGGATGTTGAAAAATCCAACAATGCGAAAAATGAGGAATCTATCAGTGCATTGCCCAAGAAAGAAGCTTCATATGGGAAGTTCGACTCTGTGGAACCAGTTGATGAAGATAAGGATGCAGAGAAACAAAAGTCAGAAAAGCCTGTTGAGAATGATGTTGATCTGCACGAACAAGAACCGACCATGGGTAGCTAAAGGATTTCATATATTTTTTTTTTTCATTAGGATTTCATCTTGGTACTGCCTATAGGGCTCTAACTAGACTGCTCCAGAAAGATGACTTGTGTAGGGATTCTTGTAGCAATTGATGTTGATGATGTCTAGTACCTTTCTTGTCACGCGGGACACAAACTTGTCGATATGCACTCTTTCTGACATTAATCGATGTTTTGGTTTATTTTCCATAGCAATGCATTTTTGGTGATAAGTTGCTTCACAGTTCACCCAAGAATTTGTTATGATATAATTATTTTGTTATATATGTATTTTTCTGTTATTATTCCCCTTTTTAATATTGTATTTATATATAGGTATTCTTCTCTCATTTTTCCATTTTCATTGTTTCGAATAGGGATGAAAACAGAAACGGTAATTTCCGATTACCGAGAATCGTTTTCGAAATTTTTTTGGATTTGGAGGCTAAACGGAAACGGTAACGGTAACCGGAAAAACGGAAATGAAAACGGTAAAAAAATTCGAAACTGAAAACGAAAACGGTTTAGCCCTTTTCCGATCGTTTTCGAAAATTACCGTATTTAAACGGTATTTTACCGTCGGTAATACCGGCCCAACTCATACTAGGCTCACTTTTAATTATAAAGCCCAATCCAAATCCCAAATGGGCCAAATGCCCAAATCCCCTTCAGCCCAACCCTGTGCCCAAATCCTGAAATCCCCTTCATCCCTTTCGGTCTTCACTCTCGTGGATTTTAATTTGGATTTTGCCACTATTATCTCATGAGAATATTTCAATTTATGTTTTAATGCTATATTTTATAATGTGGTGTGTTTATCGTTTTTTAAATACCGTTTTAATATATTTCGATCGTTATTGATGTATTTTCGATCGGATAGTTTCGTTTTCGATATTACCGGAATACCGATGTCGTTTTCGTTTCCGACATTATCGTATCATTTTCGTTTTCGAGAAAAAAATATGAAAGTGGAAATGGTTGAGCCCTATGCCGATCGTTCCCGATCGTTTTCATCCCTAGTTTCGAATTGAAATAGTGGACGAAACATTTAGGATGGGTTAACTAGAGCAAACAATGCATGCTCGAATATTTATGTAAGCCGCTTTTTTTGTTATATTCGTCCAATGTGCATCTACCTGAGCGCGTCTTCATTCTGTCGGTAACCCCTACGGACAGCAACAATTCCAGCAAATGTAATTAACTTTGTGGTAGTTCCATGAAATACTTACTAAACCACTTTGTGAATAATTTGTTGGCACCATAAACGTTCGTGGTAGCTCCATGAAATACTTACTAAACCACTTTGTGAATAATTTGTTGGCACCATAAACGTTGCCCCATCTTGTACGAGGTGCTGTTAAATTAAAAGAGTCTGGATCCCTGTAGTTCTTGGAAAAAGAGAGGAAGCCTTGTATTGGTGTTCACAAGTCGAAAATTGACTCCAAGCAAATTGTGACTCATTTGCACTAAACTGTTGACAAACAGATTTGATCAACGAGTTAAAAGTGTTTCGAATCAGATTGTTAGATGCTTAGTTATAAAGTAGATGTGTATATTTATAATGGAAAGAATCAGACAGGAAGAAATGTAGAATAATTTATAGTATAATAAGAGCCTAGGTCGACCAATACTATTATTGCTCGGATAAATGTTTTACTTAGTATTTATGACGAAAATCTATATCTTGTAGGTTGTGTCATTTTTTCATCCCCTTTTCAAATCTAATACAAGGATACTTATAGTAATTATAGCTTGGGCATTGTTCATCGGGTCGTACGGTTCGCATTTAATTGATTGGACAAGCACATTTAACGCATCGTGCTATCCTATAGATCTATGGCTGGTAGGTCGGTAAGTTAGTTGGCAGAGATGTACTTTTTCATCATTAAGCTGCAAGTGGCCTACTTTATTGCCTTTTGCTCGGCTTGTTCGCCCAGCTCGAGTTGAAGTCCCTGTCTTGGATTCAACTTCGTTGCCTCTTTCGGCTCGGTTCTTTTCTATTTGATGGTCGGTCTGCGCCTCCAGTTTGGCTCATTGGATGCATGCTGTCCTACTCTCTTATGTGGGTCCGTCTTTCAAGTCGAGGGTCATATGTATAAATAAAAAAATATTATTTATGAAGCATTTATAAGTTTATTAGTTAATATTGCATATATGAAATGAACTTAAATTTATTATTTAATACATATTGAAAAATTAAAAATTTCTTTCAGGTCTTCATACAATAACACATAAATTTATATATAATAAATCTACTTAGTATAAACTAATATAAAATGGTGATTTGTATGTTTACCCTCATGGATTTAATAATTTAATGCTAAAAAAAAAATAAAAGCATAAGTAAAATGTATGTAATTGGCATATTGTTATAAATTATTATGATAAAATTAAAATTATTAGATTATAAAGAAAATTCAAATATTAATATCAGCCCCAATTTTTAAATTTTACCATCATTTATTTAGGAATCGAAATAATATATTATAATATGGTATGAGTAATGAGTAAGGATAGAGAGAGGAATATTTTGTAAGTATTAATTATTGATAATGTTTGAATATGTTACATTTTTATGTTTCTTGATTCCAAACATAAACTATAAAATGATTCTATTTTATAAAACTAGTGCAATGCACAGATGGACTTGTTCCTAACTTTTTTTTTTAAATTTATTTTAAATATAATTAATTATACTTAAACATAAAGAAATACAAAAATAAAAAATAATATCTTATTGATTTGTGTACATAAAAATTAAGGACTTGATAAACCAATGTGTACGTAAGGACTCAACAAAGTACAATCAATACAGAATAAAGCAATTTTCATGAAGAAATTCTCAAACCAAATTGACAAACCAAAAAATGCGTTATCTCTTTCTCACATGAACTCAAGTTATTGTCATTAATCTTATTTGCAGAAAGCACTAAGAAAAGTAAAATAGATCATGCATTACATAATTACATGAATCTCTATCTCTTTCATAGTAGATCATCACATATCACAAAGTATAAACGATTCACAAGGAAAAGAGAAAAACGAAAGAGAAGAAAGGAGTAAAAATCTAGAAATCAAAGTCTCCACCCATTCATCCATGGCGTTTCCGTACTAATCCACATAGGCAACCACACCCCCGACAACCGACGCCATCTCCCCAACCAGCAAGTCTCCGAGCAGCCCAACACCCAATCCTAACCCCAACCTGGCCCCCATCCCGCCTTGTTCTTCTTAGGCTTCTGAGGGCAGGGGCGGACGCAGACCTTAAAGACAACGGGGGCACAAACTACGGTCAACGGTCAACGCCGGATGTCAACAGCCAAGTCAATATTTAATTAATTAAAATAATAAAAAGATTAAATCTTGATCAGACACATTGTCTTTTATTTAATAGCTAGGATTGAATCTCACATTCTCATTTTAAGAATAGAGACACATTTGATCAAATCCCTATATAGTATATACA